AAATTAATAGGAAAGCAAAATATTAAAAAAATTCTATCACAATTCTGTCCAATGGACAGTAATGAACTTAGCTTATTAGCTCCTCTTTGAGAGTCCAGTTCATTGTTGTACATTTACATCCACCAGTAAGATGTCTCTTAGGAAAACAGTATTTTTCAGTTTCATAGATAGTATTTTTTTTTTTTTTTTGTAATGAAAAAAATAGGGATTGGGTAGGTACAGGTGAATATGTATATGTATATGTATATGTATATGTATATGTATATGTATATGTATATGTATATGTATATGTATATGTATATGTATATTTCTTCCGTGTGTGTTTGGAACCTTTGAATTTAGTACATGCAGTAAACTCTTGCAGTAAACTCTTACAGCAATATATAGGAGTCATAGCTCCCAGACACTAAAACAGAAACGAACTGCAGTAAACACCAGCTTTTAATACTGGGACTCAAAGCTTCATTTATATCTGTCATCTGAACTCTATCTGGAAGTGATAGTCATTTATCCTGCAAATCTATTCCAGTAACATTTTCTGAAACAGTTGAAGAAGCTGTATATTGCATTAACACATCACAAGTATCTTCCTTCAGAACAAGTAAAAAGAGATTTCATTTCTTAAAAAATGTTATCAGAGATCTGTTATTTTCAATTGTCCTACTACTACGATTGGTTGTTATATAATAGCTTTCAAAATTGCTTGTGTATTCATAACTCTGAAACAGGTATAATTTAAAGAGAATCATAAAATAAAATTTGCCAAGATTTCCATAACTATACAGTGTAGCATAATTCTAGAAAACTATCTGTTGGATGATTGCTTTTACTAATTGATACGATTCCATGATAACCTCTCTTGAAAGGCAAAGCTGCATAGCTCAGAGTACTTTATGGCTGCCAGTCTGCTCTCAGGGAATCAAACTCCTCTTGCCCATACCTGCCATTCCTGTTTCCCTTCTGCCATTTCCTGTTTTACCTTGGTTACATTTAATGTCAGGAAGTTGTGAGGAGCTCTCAGAGCAGTACAACCCTCCTACCTGCTCTCTGTCTTTGTGGTATCATGTAGTAGTTTACCTATGAACTCCACTCTTAAACAGTGATACACTGAAAAACAGAAGGATCTGGGCAAGATTAACTGAGTTAAAGCCTCATGTCTGAAACCTCAATGCTTCTCAGCATGCACAGAAATCTTATATTTATGAGAATGATAAACATTATTGCAAGTTTTCCGTCTTTGATCATATCCAATTGCCTGGTGCTGCCTATATCAATAATCTTGAATTTAAGCAGAATTTAACACCTGCTTCCAAAATGACTTGAAAGGTAATTTCCATGTTGCCCCCATCTCCAATTTAGTTCTACCAAATTAAAATAATTCTCTCTCCCTTGTGGTGTATGATATTTGCATTAAAGGATACAAACTTTAGAGCAACAAATAGCATTCTTGCCATAATATGTTTAGCATTTTAGACAGTAGATAGTCAGATATGCATGCCAAGGAAACAAATATTATGGTTCGATTTTTTAATTTCTTAATTCCAAATATTTTTAAACAGTAATGTAAATCTCTGAGATAAGGAACAGGCAGTATATAGTATCCTACAAAAGGTACTGTCTTGTCCTGACGAAGTGATTTCAATAGTTTTGAAAAGGTTAATGAACTATCTCTAAAATATGATTTTGAAAGCTCTCTATATTCCTTGCACACATTAGCTCATCCTTTTGGCATTTTAAAATACAAACAGGACCAGTTAGAAAGATGGCAGAACACATTTGAGTAAATTTCAATCCTATGAAAAAATCATAAGCTTAAAATTTACTCAAAACCCATACATTTTAAGAAGTGTCAGGGTGTCCACAATAATGAAGTAATCCATGGAGCTGGGTCACCAAGAAGGACAAAACCCAGCAGGATAATGGAATGCCACTAGAGCATGCTAAATATGTAAAAGCAGGGCATTCAAAAGGATTACAAGTCTACAAATAAGTGATGATAAGTAGAAGGTCAATTAAACTCCCACAGTAAGAACAGAAACAGTGCCACTGAGTGACAAATACAGAGATGTTCTTGCAGAAGAAATTGGATTGCTACACCGTAGAGTTCTCTGCTACTATTATGCAGCTCTGGCTGTAGCAAAACTGCATCTATGGAACCATACAAATTCTGAAAATAAAATATAAATGACACCACGCATTTTAGTAGTCACTTGCTACTCGTATTTCCAAAGTATATAATCTATTATTGCCCTCTTTAAACAACTTTCTTCAGTCACTTTCTCCTCAAAACAAACTCATCTTCCCCAGAAGCCTGTCTTGCAAAAGGGGAACAATAGTTGAGCTTCACAGGTGCTTTTAGGGAAGCAGACTATATTTAACAACTGAGGGTGTCAAGGTGAATGTGGGTTATACCTAAAGTGAAAAACAAACAATGATGTTATCTGCCAGGTGTGAGCAGCAATGAAATTCGTGTGTCACAGAGCAAGAATGAGTAAGAAGAATGTCTGCCAGGCTTCCAAGCAGTCAATTTCTACTGACTTCCCTCCCCACCAAAGGAAATTCAGAATAATTTCAATTATCTGTTGAAAGGAATCTGAATTTCAACCGACTAAGTACAACAATTTCCATTGTTGAAATTCAGCTTTTCCCAGACAGGAATAACTGTGATTTGGACCAGGATGGTGCCAGGTCTGTGTGGACTGCATGGGGCTGGATACTGTTAGGCTCATCTGCAGCATTCTGAAGAAGCAGAAATAAAAGATAAAAGGAGATAAAAGGAGCATGTTGCTTAGAATAGAGAATTGAGAAGGCTCACACTCTTCCAACATCCTTTTATGTACAAGATTATATCCATAACTTATCTATTCAAAGAGTCATGACATCTTACTCACCTAATCAGTAATATATGCACAATAAGTATTTGCAAGAAACAGTCCTAGTCTGCAGGCATTGAGTTCTGATTCAAATAAACCAATCTTTAATGGCTGTATTATGCCATATTTGTATGCTAATTAACTATGAAGGGGAGTATCAGAATCAATATAAGATTCAATGAATCTTGGTAGGTAGTTCTATAGATTATAATATGATAGATAACACAGCATTGTATACTAATAGAAATCTCAAAGGAAGAAAGCTTTTTTATTACAAGCCACCTCTTTCAGGTCTATATCCCTCTCTATGTTATATACACAGACTGGACAAAGCTCTTCTCACTATTTTTTTTTTTCTTGTTGAAGGCTATCGATACTTAATGGAATGGTTATACAAAGTGTTCAATAGGAAAAGCTGTAAAAAAGAGTAGTGTCTAAAAGCTCAAGTATGTAAGCACTTGTATCAATGAAAGTATTATTAAGAAGAATGAAAGAAAGTAGAAAATATGGTAACAGTCCTGATTTTTAAATTATCCCGTTTTTACTCAGTAGTTTAAAAAACAGAGCTTCCTCTTGCCTATGATTTAGGGTATCAAAGCTCTAATACGTATGCAAAATGGAGAAAAATTTCCTAATCTAGTAACCAGAGGAGATAGAAGAGATAGATTATGATTTTTTTTTTCACTGTGATTGTTAAAAGGTAATATCTGAATGAAAGACATGAAATAGCTTCCTCACTTGCTTTCAACCTTATGAATTTCTGTTTTGCAGAGAGGCATAATTTCTCAGACAAGAGTACATGCCCTCATTTTGAAGGACACCATAATTCTGACTAGGAAAATTTCTGATGAAACTCTATGCAGAAAGACAAGAGAGGAGACATTGCTTCATTCTTACTTGGGGTTTATCACAACAGAGGCCAGGGTTTTCTTTTCTGTGCAGGATTTAGAACCACAACAATTTGTTAAGTGCACTTAGAGAACATGTTGCAAACAAAATGCTTTGGGGACCTTGAAGGGTGCAAAGATTTATTTCTTCATCAAGTTTGGACAAGGAGATGACACACAGCTGCTGTTCTAAATAAAAATGGTGGCAGGTCTGTGCAGGGATAACAAACTGAATTTTGTGTTCAGATTAAGTTTTACTGGAAAAAGCTTAGATGCCTGGGATTGGGGCAGGTAGCTCATTAGACAGTGGGTTTTCACTCTTTTTGTGACTTTGAGTGGGATGTGTGTTCATTAAGGGATTAGTGGTGGAGGTGACTGTAGAGTTCAGATCTCACAGATCTTTAGTTAATGATCTAGAGGGTTGCCATCAGCTTTTGAGGATAGTGTTTAAGCAAGGATGTGAACACTAATTGACCTATTCTGTAAATTCTAGGGAAAAAAGTCATACGCAACAATATATAATATATATACCATATATAATGTCCTCCAGGAATCTAGGACAAGTACATCATATGACTGAAATTATATGCACTTCTGAAAGACTTCATTATCTACAAATGCAATTCACCTCTGTTTTCCTTTGCTTTCTACTTTTCCCTGTTCAAACTTATCATATTCCAGAATAGAATCCTAATGTATACCACTGTCCCTGTACGGTCTTTTATTTCAATCAATGCATGACCAACAGCAATGTGAACATGCAAAACTGAAATCAATTGGGGTTTTTAAATGTATTCAGAAAAAATACTTTCCAGCATTTTTCACAATCTCTTGTAGAGTATATGTGGCACCAAGTTATCCATATTTCTAACAAGATTAATGGCAGTCCCAAAGTTATGAGTAAAACACAACCAGCACATCTCCTCACTTCCCAATCCTGCAGATCATCTTTCTTAGTTCACTGTTTCAGCATTCAGGGTGTGACAACTCACTCTAAATAAGCTGTCAAGCTTAATTGAACTACTCTGCAAAAAATAAAATCTTCCATAAAGAAAATGCTTTAAAAGCGTAAGAGAAAGCAAGATTAGTTTTTTTTCTCTCTAGGATTTTTAGTCTTTTTTTTTTTTTTTTCCTGTAACCATTCTTGAAATTATTTAAAATGGTCACCCTGTGTAAGGAAGAAAGCAAAATCAGAACAAACTTTTTCTTATGGTTTGGAAAGGTATAGATGGCAGTTTACCTGCAATTGTCAACATTACTTCTTCCCACAGCATTAGAGAAGCTGAAAGGTCCGACGTTATTGATTTCTACAACTTTTATGCAGCCAGTGAAATTGTAGACAGGTCCAGAAATCTACAAAGGAAAAAATACACACAATTCTTTTTCTTGTCATTGTGATCAAGGTATTTATTTTTCTATAAAGGAGTACAGGTCATGGTGAATGGTAAACAGGGAAGATTTGAAATTTATACGTTTATTACTTCCCTGTTCAAAAGATTTCTAGTACCATTAATCATGTCTCAAAGATGCCTAAGGACCTACTAAAAATGGGAAACACTGCAGGGGCACTGAAAACACAGAGAACAGTAAGTTGGTATGCACTGCCAAGGACCCATTTTTAAAAATTAAGTCAGGTTTAGATAGTTGCAGAAAGAAAAATAAAAATATCTTGAGGAACAATTTGCTGAAAGCATAATCGAAAGCATTAAATGCTTTTTAAAGCCCAACAGGAGCATTAAGCCTGCCAGAAAGGTTTTAGGACTAATAGACCAGCTAAGTATAATGGGAATTTTCCAAGAAACAAAGCTCTAGCAGGAAATGTAAATGACTTACCAAATCAAAATTTAGTGAAGAGTAGTTCTGGGAGGTTCCCATGATGGAACCCCTTTTTATTTGGGGTACATCAGAGATCTGTCTCAAATTGAATTACTACTAGAAAATGTTTTTTAAGAAGACCCAAAAAATGAACAGTGACAAAAAAGGAGCAAGATAAACAGTGTCTGTTTGGGATTCTTATGGGAAATTACTGTGGTCATCACTTAAAATGGTGTCCAAAGCATGAGAATGGTAGATATGGATTTTTTGGGGGAGGGAAGGGGGTCTTGGGTTTTTGCTTTGTATGATTTTTGAAAATGAGGACAAGACTATGGCATGCAAGGACACACCTCAAACTACAGATCAGTAAGTCCCAATTCTATTCAAGACAGAGATTATGAATTACACTGAAGGACAGAATTAACGTATATGCAAATGAACATAATGTACGGGGGAATAGTTGAGAGGGTTTCTGAAAAGGGAAATTGTAACTCACAGGAGAAACACTGACTTATGTGAAAAAGGATGTCTTGGCACATAGCCTTTGATTTCCAAAGCATTTTAACAAGTCTCTGTGTTAAAAGATTCTAAAGTAACTCAGTCCCCCTGGCACAACAAGGAAGGCCTTCAATAAATTAGAACGGTTAAAACAGAAGCAGAAAAATTGTGAGTAAATGGTGAGGTTTCTCACTATAGAGACTCCCCAGAAATTCTCTCTGCAAGTCTGTATTAGGGTCTGGTAGTCTTTAATGCATTTAAGTGGCTCACTGTTTTCTGCACTATTCAGGATAGCAAAACTAAAATCCTGAAAACAGGATTTCACAATGTGCAAAAGTGTCACAATATGCAAAATTATAAGGTATGCAAGGACAATGATATATATGAGAATTCCTAAACAGAGTAACAGCACAGACCAGGAATCTTCAGTGGGGAAAACTCACTGTCAGTGAGAGATAAAACAGAGCAATGTGCAGATGAATAAACAGTTTTCAGTTTCTCAAAATACAGAATCAAAAGGACATGAAATGACATAAATCAGTGTGAAGATGAAAGCAAGGTAAGGGGTTTGCTTTTCGTACAACTCAAAATTAAGTTGTGGAACTCTACCATAGTATGTTGTGGATGGTACAAGTGTAAATGGGGTTAAAAATTAATCATGTTAAAAGGAAAGAAGAGCTGTCAGCTGTCACCCTCCCAGCAGACAGATAGGCTGCACAGGTACAATACGGTTGAAGCAAGGCAAATTGATTTTCTCTGCACTGCTCAACCACTCTGGAACACAACACAGTGTGCCATGCCACACACTATGGACAGAATGAACCGTCCTTCCAACACATGGGAGGGCTCTAGGAGTTCACCAACAGTTTATTGTTTATTTCCTTAGCAGCAAAGGCTTACAGGAAGTTAAGACTTTAAAAGAGATACATTATTGAACTGGAACAATGTGGAAAGTTATGTAACCATCTGTAAGGTCATATTCAAAGTCAATAAAGTTCCGTTGTGGCAAAGGGAGGATGGTTTCTCTGTGGAACAAACACAGAGGATTACAATAAATCTTCCTGGAACCTAAAAAAAAAAAACAATAAACCTCATTCAAGAAAATACTGGATGAGAACATTCTCCTCCAAGTTAACTTTATACATTAAGAAAAAAAAAAAAAAGCTATTTGATATACCCCAGGGGTTGGCAGAGGTTATTCATACGGATTACAGAAAATGGAACACTCTTTCTATTCCTCCTTTGCCAGCCACTCTGGCATGGAAATAAGTGTGATGGAAGGCCAAGTTGGACATACACTCAGCAGTCTGCTTTTGCTGCCATCATTACAATAACATGTACCAGGTAATCTTTGAAGATGTCTTGCACTACTAAGCTTCACATTTTAATTTTTATAAGAGGTGTTTGTCATTTTTCCCACCTGCCTTTTATAAATAGTAAATAAAATAATTTTCAAATTAACAAGATGCAGGATGTGCTATAAATTTATTATGAGCACTGACAGAAATAGCTACAGGATTCTGAGCTGGGAACTACATGGGACCTGTAACATTGCTTCCCCAAAAATGAACCAATTGAACAGTGTTTTAATATTGGCTGCATAAATCAACTTGTTAAAGATGTGCTCCTTTTTTTCTCCCTGAGCCTCATATGATTGTCTTAGTATACCATGAGTGTTTCTCAACAAAAGCCCTCTTTCTCAGGATTGTAAAAGTGAACAAACAAAAAAGAAAACAAATAAATCAATAAATGCAAAGGGCAAATAAAATATGATTTTATGATAGCTACTGTGCCAAGTTCATCCAAGACTCTGGTATCGGGAAAATTCACTGTGTCAACCTATGGTCCATTTTGCACACTGGAGAGCAAATTAGTCACTTGGTTTGGAAATCAACATTTAGCTGCATATTTCCCCAAGCACTGTAACAGTGCATATTTTAACAACATGGTTTCCTTCCCCTCATTACTGGCTGGCCGCCTAATAATTTCTCTTACATTGATATGTGCATATTTTGAAGGTAATGCATTCCTCTAAAGCAATTTTAAAATTATCACTTCTTTTTTTTTTAACTATAACTACAGTATAAACATTTTGTCAACTACTTGCATTTGTTCTGCTATACTATCTATACAAAAAAACCAATATCTTAGAGACATGTAGGAATAAGAGCTATTGATATATATAATCAAAAATAAGTGGCTTTTATTTTTCTGGTTTTGAGAACCTTTTGTGTTTAGCAGAATATTAAATATTAAATATTAAAATGTAGACTTCACATGTACTTGAGTTCCCTTCCATTTACAAAATACATTAATATACTGACAAACTGTAACACTTAAATTGCCTGAAAATGTCAGGGCCAGAGCAACACCAGAAATTTAGTTTAATAAAATTCACTATTCACAATCTATTCAGATATGTTTGACATATAGCAACCATACTCTTTAAACGCCCTTTATACTTGACAAAAATGAGTACAGATACTTACCTTGTAGGAAAAGTTCACATATATGCCTAATCATTTATTAACATCTCTTACTGACTAGCCCAAATTAAGCTGCTGCTAGATAGAATTAACCTAGAATGAGCTCCTAATGAAATGAACTTACATGCTGTCAATTCACTACAGATTCATAAATAATATAATGAGGTTTTGGCTTATGACCTGAGCATTTATTTGAAAAGTATGATGAACTGGAAAGAAAACAAAGCATAGCACAATCTTTCCTCATTTGTCTCCACTCAAGATAAATTTTATATATCGTAAAAAGTCTCACTATAGATATTAAATTGTACAACTCTACACCATTTGTTAGTCTTTCTCATCTTTGTTATTCCAGAAATACTCCAAATCCAGTCTGATTTTGGAGTCTGATTTTGGAGTCTGATTAGTAGAACTCTCTTCAATAGACTACAAAACTTTTAAAACTCAATATTTTAAACTTTAATAAAATAACTCAGGTGGACAGTTTGGAATACTCTAATAAAATTTTAACTTGTATTTACTAAAACCATGGTGAACTGTTTGGAAATAAATAACTCAAAAAACACCTCAACTTAGATAACAGCTTCTTTACTCCAGTTTTATTCACTGCTAGTGAATAGAATCATATGAAGCAGTCACAATGAAGTCTTAAATTAAGCAAGTCATAATCTCACCTCTGTATTCTCTTTAAATTGGCCATAAAAAATTGGCCATTGTAACCCGCTTGAAGCCTACTGTAACTGAACTCAATATCAAGCCCACTAAAGAAAAGTACGAAAATCAAAATGAATATTAAAAAAAAAAAACAAAAACAAAATCCCACATCTAAGTCCTTGGGTTGTGGTGGTGATGCTTCCCCTCAAAGAAAAATTTGGAATCTATTTTTTGAAAATGTAATTTTAAGCCCCATTTTCCTCTCTTAGATCTTGAATTACATACAGCACAAAATAGAAATATACAGACTATCAAATTAGCAGGAAGACAATCAGAATGGGCTTAATCTTATAGGACATTATTCTGCCTTTATATTTCACTTGCTGAAACTTGACTGCATTCAAGGCAACATGCTATATATGGCACCTGTACTTTCATCAAGCCCAAAAGTTTTCAAGACTGTCAAAAATCAACAGTAGTGACTCAGACATCACCCTCCCGAAAAATGTTCCTTGATGATTTAATTTTTTAAAAAATCAATTAGCAAAAATTAAAAATTATTCATTTTAATTCTGGTAGTTCAAGCAAAATGGACAGAACTTGTCTGGTTAATTTGCACAGCTACTCATGAGAGAAAAATGTACCTCCCTTTGAGAAGTCCTGCTGAAGTAGACAGTAGCAGTGGAATGTGTGTCTTTGATGTATCTATACTGTTCATTACTTCACTTCCTAATTTTTGCTTTTAATAACATTTTCCATCTTCAGTTCAAATTTTAAACCACAAGCATTTTTACTGTTAGATAATGGAATATAAGTCAAAGAGTTTAATGACATTTCAAAATGTGTAGGAAAATGAGAAATAGTATTAGCTTTCAAAAAAAAGTAATAAAAGAAAACACT